GTAACAGTGTGCACCATGATGACATTCATTATTGTTGTGCTCATTGTTTTAACATTAGTTATTGTAATAATCAGTTACAATTTGCATCCTGCTTGACGAAAGAAATTTCTTCTGCTCTAAGAATAGGTGCACACTATTTTATGAAACACTTGCTATTGAAATGGCTGAGAGCCTGTCCTGGTTCTTAAAAAATAATATCTGGTATGATAGTATTAATTTCTGTGTGCTAATGACTTGCCTTTAGTATAGCTTTTACAGTTTGCCGGCCTGAATTTTAAGCAGTTTAGAATACCAAAAGTGGCATGAGGCATTGCTTATATTATTACTAAAGCATATTGGGTTCTTAACATTAATTATGCACTTGATTGTCTTGTACTATGTTAATTTTTACAGACTAAGGTCTTTTAATTGACTTGTGTTCTTTCTTTTTTTCCCCTCTACAATAGTCAGCTTCTACATCCATGTCAGGCTTTATTTTTTATTTTTATTTTTATTTTTATTTTTTGTGCTCATCATAATGAAAGAGAAAATGTCCAAGTTTATTTCACTGTTGAATTTATTGATTATATTTCCAACTGTTTTCTGTGCCTTACTTATTGTAGTACGCATTGGGTTGCTTTATGTCATTTCTGGACTTGGTGGGAGTTTGTTATCTGCCCTCTTTATTCAGTCAAATATATCTGTCGGTGCTTCCGGTGCACTTTTTGGCTTACTCGGGGGAATGCTTTCAGAACTCATAACTAATTGGACTATATACGCTAACAAGGTAATTCCCCAAATACAATTGGATGAGGCTTTCTTGAAGCAGTGAAGTTCATATTACTATTTCCAGCTTAAATATCATGCTACATATATTCTGTTTTTTTAGGTAGCAGCAATGGTGACCCTTGTCATAATTATTGCTATCAATCTATCAGTAGGCATCCTACCACACGTGGACAACTTTGCTCATCTCGGAGGATTTTTATCTGGTTTTCTTCTCGGGTTTGTATTTCTAATCCGTCCGCAGTTTGGATGGGTTTACCAGCGATATGCTCCTGGATATTCCTCAACATCATCTAAACCTAAATTTAAGACATATCAGTGCGTATTGTGGATCCTCTCGTTGATCCTTGTGATTGTGGGGTGAGCCTCCGAGACTTTTAGCTGTGTTTTTATGTCATTTCACTCTCCAGTGGACTTCATCAAGCTTCGTGTTCTGGCAGAATGGTTGCTCTGACTCAAGTCTGAATTTTGACAGGTTCACTGTTGGCCTGGTTATGCTTCTCCGTGGCGTTGATTTGAACGATCGTTGTTCGTGGTGTCATTATCTAAGTTGCGTACCTACTAAAAGGTGGAGCTGCAACACACAGCCCG